GCTGTGCGAACATGCCTTTTTTATGCATATTCCTCTCTTTATGGCCTCAACTCAAAAAAGTGTGAAGCTACAATGACAGCGTTTTGGCAAAATGCAAAAATATGAGCTTGAAATTTGCCCAAATGGCCCATTTTTTATTAAACTCACATATTTGTCTGCGAAATTATTTTGTGTTTAAGTTTACTTTTGTAACTTTTTCCATTTTTTGAACAATTCTGCCACGTGGCACGCTCTTGCCCTCCTTTTCCACACTTGCGCCTAAAAGCTCACTACATTAAAAACCTAAAGACTGTCAAGCATCCTTTTGCGTACATCATTTCCGATTTGGTTAGAGAAAAAAATTATCGAGTTGCATCCACAGTATTTGCCACAACATGCTAGCAGAACCTACCGATAGCAATTCTTCACCGCTGTCCGCGCAGCTCGTTGCGGCGCACAACTCATGCAGCCACACATCCTTCAGCCATTATTTGTGTCCTTGTGGTCACAACAAACAGTGACAGACAACACACATACATGCAGCCGTGTTTATTCATATACCAACAAATATATAAATGTATATGTGTGTGTGTGTGTGCTTGCGTTATTGTCCTTTTCTGCTCTCCACTTTAATGTAATACAGCGCAAGTCAACCGCAGCAACTGCCTTGCACTCGCACATTCACGTGTGTGCTCTCGACAGTGTGTCCTTCAACCTTTTATTGTCTTTCTATGTCACTTCCGTAAGCTGCCTCGCACTTTGGCCGCTCGGCCGGGGTTGCCAGCGTGCGCTTTTGTTGCACTTTTCTTGGCTTGCATTACTTACCGCAGACCAAAATACATTCTGCTTTGTTTACGTTGCCGTTTTTTGTTGCTATTTTGTATAGGTTTGTATTATACTCGCATATGTATATATGTGGTAGTATATATGCATGTATTTGTGCGTTTATATAACTCTGCTGTTGACTGAAGCGGCCGTTTGTCTTTCGCTGCCGTTCTTCTGTTTTATCTCATTTTCTAGTCTTATTCATCCATTCGCCGAGTAATGTACGCGTTGTTGTTGTCAACCTGCGTTGCACTCCGCTTTTTGGTCCTTCGAAAACACAAGTTGACATCGTTTATAAATTCAGACGTGTGCGACAATACCATTTTATTGCGAAATGCACTATTTGAGAGCGAAGATTTTTTTCTGTCTTTACGAATTTAAAAATATACAAGAATATATTGGAAAAAATAAAATTAAATAAAATATCAAGGATTTATACAGAATAAGATTTACCAAACAAGTTAAACTCAAACTCAGTCAGATTTATAGAATATTTACCTAGATGTAAGCCTTAATTGCAGTAAAGAGATATATTCTTGATATTCATTAAACAGCAGAGAGAAATGGTAGTACAGTGTGATGAATTTAAAAAAATTTAACCTAAAATTTCAAGTTCGAAAACTAAAATTTCTGATTAACTACAAGGTGGGATTAACAACTGTACTTTATATTTAGATCAAACAACATACAGCATTAAAAAGATAAATGCATCGTCTTTCAAACGCACTTAACTTCATGAAAACCGAATGACAGATGGTAAAGTAAGAGATATTCCAATAGAAGAGAACTTGTGCAAATGTTACTAAACAAAAATGGAACAAAGAGCAAATATAAAATTTTGTGTTAAACATGAAAAAAAAAATAATGGAACATGATTGTATGACTCGTTCTCAAGTTTATATGGAGTTTACACGATTTAAAAATGATCGTGAGGATTTATATGACGACCACAGGTCAGGTGGTTCAGAAGCTAGTAATCGTGCTGTATTGATCTATCACCATGTGACTATTTTCTATTTCCAAAACTGAAAACCAACATGAAAGCATCATTTAATGGTGTTATCATCGCCATTCAGCCAGCTGAAGAACATTTTTATGATATTTTTATAGAAGTTCTTATTGCAAGAAAGTATCTTCATGTCCATATATAATATAAGCTCCATAGAGACCATAAAACAATTTTTATGTTTTTTTTCTGATATTTGTGAGAGCAATGCGATAATTGTTTTACATTTTGGATACTATCCCTGTATAAATTGTAAATCGACCATGTTTGGATAAATATATTCAACAAGACCTAAATAAATCTTTAAGCTTTAATCTTAATTTAACCAGAGTTCCGATCCTTAAAAAATTGTAAATCTATTTTACATTGTTGGTATTTGAGATTAAAATATTCGTCCAATAATTAAATTTTATTAGGGTTGCCATGTGCTAGCTCTGTCGAGCTGTTAATAACAATTGCACTTTCAATCTCCTTATTTTCCAAAATACACAAGCTGTTTTTTAAGAAGCTTTAAATGCCGACCAATGAGCAGCTTTTTTGGAGAAAAAGGATGTGTGCAAAATCAGAGAGATATCTCAAACCCTAAGGGATTAGTTCGCGTATACACATGTTGATCATTTATATACATACCAAGCTTTATATACCCTGTTAATGGTATAATAATGTGACTTTTTCTACATTTTGAATTATATCCAATATCAAACAACACTTAGCACTAAAATGCTTAAAAGTTTAAATTTTACACATTGAAGTTTAAACATTGGGCACAGTTTCAGTTTTTTCACAAGATCCATTACCATTAATTACCATAAATATTAATTTCTAAATTTCTTAAATGGTGGTCCAGAAGAATTATCTTTTATTTTAACTTTTAAATGTAGAAAATTACCATTTTATTTAGCTTGACTTTAAAAATTTGCTCAAAAGGTTTCCGTAAACTTTGGTTATGCACGTTTTAATGAAGCAATAGGTGCCACTTAACTCATGGTCAACCTATTAGTCACCTTAAATAAGCATTATGTGGTGAATAGTTCTTAGTACTTTAATTATAAAAATTATATTGTGTAAGCACAAGCGCTTACAGCTGGTTTATTCTCATTACAGAAGTCGAAGTTACTTGTTAGTGAAATGCATTTCTATTTACTGTTAAGTTATTGCCTTCACTCACTTAGAAATTCTTAATTTAAACTTCCGTTTAAAGCATAAAAAAACTGTATACTTAAATGCTACTAATAATATATGTAATATAATATATGTTTGTATGTCTAAATGTGAGCTAGTTGCCTGTCTTGTTGAAGGTTTAACTCATTTTTGACAGCTTAGTTGAAACAAAAAATCAACTATATATATATATATAGTATTAACATACATAGATATATATATATATATTAACATATATAGATACAAGTGCATGTATAATATATAACATATAGACATTATAATACAAGTCACAATTACATATTAAGTAGCTCCGCGAATCGCAGTTCTGGCGATAATCACTTTGTTTTGAATTTGTTTTGGAATAATAATGAGCTTTTAATCGTCCACAATTCTGTTGCTTGTATGTGTTTGTGCGTCGAAGTAAATGCATACATATTTATGTATAAGATTAGTTGGTTTCTATAATTATAAATACTCGTATCATTTGATTCTTACAATTAAAAAACGGGTTTATTAAACGATCTTCTCATTTAAGGAACTTAGAAAGTAAAGTTTTACACTAAACCTATAATTAAACAAATTTGAGCGGCATATTTATAAAAACCTTTTTCTAATGTAAAATACTTCACCATCACCAATTATGGCAAATTTTTCCTGAAAAAAATATTTCAAACGTAATTTATAGTTGTTGTTAATTACGTAATACAGCATTTCAATTTATTTGTAATTGCCTTTCAAACCCACCAGACGAGTGCACTCAAATAATTGCTTTGATTTTTTTCGCTATAAATCATTTATAAATAAATTGTGTATATTTCTAAATTACGTTTTCAATTTGGATTTATTAGTACCGCTGAAAATAAATTGATTTTGTGTAAAACAAGATTTCCGACATTTGATTTTACAATAGTTTATACTCTGAGAATAATTTAAGGCGACTTTATTTAATTAAAGAATTGTTGTATATTTTGTTTTTAATGTTTATATTTTAAAATATATTTATTATTAAAGATATTTATTTCTAATGAATAAATAATTTAAAGCGAAGGCATTTATGAACGGTTTTCCGGATAAAAATAGACCACCGCTGCTGCAATGATTGCGGCCTTCGCCGCGGTTGAAAATAAAAATACTAAAAGGGATGAGTAATCTGTAAGGTGTTGCCCATACAATGATCTTAACAAAGTGGCAGACTTATAAAAAATATTTTTGTTCAAAAAATAGTTGATCTTTGGCCCACCAAAACTACATTTTTCACACAACCGAAAACTGGTAGGATATTGTACAGCAAAAAAATCAAAGCGATCGTTTAATTTCCTTACAACTGCAGCCAATTTGAAAAATGTAGTTTTGAGATAAATGTGTTTAAAGGTAAAATGATAGAGCTGATTGAACTTAATGGCCACACTTTAGAAGCTTATAACTCAAAATAAATATATTGAATATTCATATCAAATTTTGGCATGTTATTAATATTTTTTAAAAGGTATAGACTACGAAAATATGCAAAACAAAAAATATTTTTTTGGAATTTTGAACTAATTTCACTTAAGTATCGACTTTTAAATTATCCAGCTATAGATCTTAATTTATGAACTGATTGTTAACACAGGCGGTATATCAGTAATTGAGAGACTAATATTAAGAAGTGAATCACGATTGTCATATAAAGTGGAATGAGACTTAAAGTCCAGGCGAAAACAACACAGTGATTCACATCATTCTTAATTAGTTTTATATGCTTTGAAGATTAGGCTCAAAGGTCTTTGATGCTCTGGAAGGAACATTATTTTAATTTCAGGAAAGAATACGCATACTTAAAATTAAACTAGGCACTAGATTAACCCAAAAAAGTGTAACGTTTATAAACTTAGACGAACAGTATAAAGGGGAAGTCTACAATGAGAATTCCAGCTTCGATTACATAGAACAAAGAGAGAAATGTATACCTTCTTTAAGAAAGCTTGATACGTCCTAACTTAACCTAACCTATATTAAGCCACAAATAACGTCAAGAAAAAGAACTCACCTTTAAAGTAGGTAGCTATAACTTCAGGCAGTTTACGCAAACTTGTTTTTAGTAGCCGAATTTACACAAATCGCGATTTCTGTTATTAAAAAAGAATAAAAATCATTACGTTTAACTCGTTGAACACTCATGTGATCATAATAATGAAATTGAGTACTAACAAATGCAAAGCGAAATGTTATCGGCGGCGTTTTGCACAAAGTCACTGGTCAGCTGTTAAAAAATAAAAAAAAAAAACGCTAATTTTGGTTGCACCGAAGCTATAGCTTCACAGATGTGCAAAACTGCTTACAAGAACTTGATTTTTATCGGCCAGTTTGTATGGCAGCTATATGCTATAGTGATCTGATCTGAACATATTCTTTGAAAGTGGCATCATGGCCTTCGACAATAATCCACGCTAAACTTCTTGAAGATATATGTATGAATATATATTTCATAGCGCTGTCGATATTTTCTTTGGGATTCGTGGTAAAGTTAATATGCCCTGATCAGGGTATAAAAATTAGCAAAAAAAAATGTTTGCATAAAAATGATTACGTTATCTATAATGCTTGTTTAAAAAAAAAATTATTTTTATTTTTTTTTATTGAATTAAAATTAATGTATAACAAGCAGGGTCACACTCATTTTGTCAAAAAAATATTTTTTATATTAATATTCATTGAAGTTTTAATAAGATTTGGTGATGCCTTATTTCTTAAATTTTAAATTTTCACCGCAACTAAGTCATGGAATTAGTACTCTTTTGTATAAACGTATGCATAATTGCGTTTAATTACGTCTTCCGCGTAATGAACGCCACCCACTTAACGCCAATTGAAAACGATAGCAGCGACGCGATTCGTAATTGAAGCCAATAAAGGTGTATAGCGGAGCTTACGAGAAGCAATAACAGCAGCAACCAGCAACTGCAGTAAAAGTGACGCAGCAATAACAATAATAGTTTGCACTTTTAAGTACATGGAGCAATTACGCGCTGCTAATAAAGAAAACAACAACAAAGGAAATACAAGCGAATTGATTGTTTTCGAACTTTCTGTAAATAAACGCGAAAAGCTGGATTCTCGATCCGACTCAGCGCCTCAAGTTGCTACAGCCGTAACAAAGAAGCTTATTCGATCGCAGTTTCAAATGTTGATTTCACTGATCACACGTACATACATATAGGTCTTTGTATATGTATAGTTTGATAAATGGGATTTTTTACGTAGCCGCTGAACACATGAGCGGTCACACATCTCCGCTTTTGATTATATTCGCACATTTAATTTGTTGCTTTGTTTTATGATGTTTTCACAGTCATTTTGAACGTGTTCATTGTTTCGCTGCGTTTTCTCGTATATAATTTTCAAATAATCCATCAACTTTTTACTCCATCGAAAATAATTCTTTATTTTACACTCTTTGAACACACGCACACAAAAAACTTTTTGTATATGCTAATTATGTGAATAAATATTAACGCTTACGTCTTTGTATTTGACGCTGATTTCACAAATGGGCTTAGTAAAGAGCCCGACACGAATGCACTGTTCGCTTTGGTTGTCCGCGCCACGTACGTTTCACGGCGACGAGCGCTCCAAAAATGCCACTTCATACAGAAAACAGCAAACGACTGCGAGCTGCCACAGCCACCGACTGACTCTGCTACTGCCAATGGCTTGTGGCGAGCGTTCGCTCACTTTGGCGTCGAATAGCTTGTGCTCCCAGTACAACGTTTGCTCTGTTGATTTGAGAGATGCAGTGCTACCAGATTTTGCTTCAATTTATTTATAATTTTTTACACTGGTTATTTACCTGAGCACTCGCTGAGCTCAATAGTCGTTTTCCACAAATCTCTATTAACATTCTGTAGTAACCGTGCTCTGTATAGTAACAGTTTTTCCTCTATTTCACAACACCAGTAACAGAGAATGTTAATGGTAACATTAAGCAGCACTGTAAAACTTATGGCGTGCAAATGAGCGGCAAATAATCACATGCGTCGTGTATGACTGTTATTTATGTTAGCCGCGTGATTTTCAATGCCACAGGCACTTGCAAACACAAGCAGAGAGTATTTTAAATAATTTGTACTGCAGTTTTATGTAGCGCGGTTAACAGTGTTCTGTTGGTTTTGACAGTTAATGCCAGCATTTGCAATGTGGGAAATAAAATGTTCTCTGTTGTGCGGAGTGCAAAACATTTTTCAGTGTATTTTTTTATATATTTGCTCCGTAAATTTTTATCACCTCTCAGAATTGCCTACATTTTGAAATTGTAATAAATCAAATATTTATTTATAAAATCTTAACAGTAGACCGTTGGAAAATGATAACATTATATCAGTGGACATTTCCACATAAAATTACAATTCAAATTATTCAACCATATTATATAGATATACATATATACGTAGTATTAAAATTATTTTTCTTGGCAAAGCTCTTACTTAGGTTACAATATCGTACATACATTTTATTTATGAACACAGCACTGCGACACAAATGTTACATGCCTCCTCTCATTTGTTACGCCTCATTTTAAAATATTGCTGCGGTAAATGTCAATTTCTTGTGCCTTGAAAGGTAGCCAATTGCCAAAAATGAACAGTGCACAATAATAAAAAAAATCTTCTTCAGCGAGCTGATTATGCGATGCCTTTAAGTGTGGAGAAAAACCTGCATCTGTCAACACAAGTGCAAATCTACTGGAAGGTTTACTTTAGTTTGAAATGTATATATTTAGAATACAATCGCCTCTTAAATTTGAAAAAATTTTAAATATTAAAATACAACTTAGCAACTTAACATATGTTAAGAAGCTTTGAAGAATAATCGCTTCTTTAATGAGGTGTTCGAATACTCTCTTGTAACTTTTTGTTGCATTTTCAAGTACGTTTTTTGCGGCAAAAGGGCAGCAGGCAATTTAATATTAATTAACTTAAGCCTTAATTTATTGAAAAGAAGCAACATTTCCATAGTCCACAGATTTTAATCAGTTTTTGCTTACAAATATTTTATACTGTGCACTTTTTTTCACTTTCCTCACTTTTGAACTGAGCGCCTAAGTCAACAGAAAATTCAAATAAATTCTTAAATTGAAAAACTAGCGCTTTAAGGGTCAGTGCTTAGAGCGTATAGTCAGCAAATAAATTTGATAAGTTTGCCGTCAGTTATGAGCTGGAATCTTCTCCAGATTATTGTCACTTTCACTGAGTATACTAAATAAATTTCAATCTCGTATATAGCATCTGTCAGTATCTACTTGCGTAACCACTAGCGCCCAAACGCAACACTTCCACTTTCCGCTGACTTTCTTCGCCTAATTTATTTGTTACTTAAATACCTTCTTTATTTTAATGCCAAACACAAATAATCATAAAAACAACATAAACATTGACACTTTCGTCCTACACAAACAACAAGAAAGGCAAAATACTTGACCAAAGACAAATCTCAGATAGGACATTAGAGAATTAACGCAAGTAAATCTACGTCTATGCCATTGCGTAGACCCTTGAGGCCACACAAACGCAAACATACATACACACACATATTTGTATAACTACAACAAATTGGGCATGGTTATGTGAATGGGTGTGTACGAAAGGCCAAACGGCAGACCAAAAGGCGACATTCAAACTAATAAATGACCGACGCTGGAAAAGACAACGCCATAAGCTAAATGAAATGTCACCCGGATATAGCATGATAGTAAGATTATGATACTCTTGAGAGCAGTTTGTGTGTTCATCATAAAAGTGAGTTCGTTGATAAGTATGTGCGTGCGTTATATGGGCATGTGGGAGAATTAACTCTTGTAATATAATATATACTTAATACCTAGTTAATAATACTATGCAATATTGTATACAAGTACATTTATGATGGCCTTTATAAAATGTGTATGTAATATGTGCTTGCTGTGCTTATTAGTCGGTTTCTGCTGAGTGAAGAATATGAGGTTAGGTCATGAGTACATTTCTATGTAAAGTTAAACCTTAACATAAGTCGAATTTTACAGAATTTTCAAGTTCTTTCGAAGAAATCAAGTTAACAGAGTTCAACACCCCAGAAAAAATTTGAAGCGACTACGCTCGACGTCAAAACACATATTTTTGAATTAATTATGTTTCCATTTCTTTCTAGAGGAAGCTTGGGGAATGTCGGTATTTTAGTTAGTCTGACAGAATGTCTACTGTGACTTCGCTTTAAAATTTTATGTACAATACAAACAAGGAGCAAACGAAATAAAATAAATTTAAATAAATATTTACTTGAGCTAAAAATCAGTCACTTTTGACTTATAAACTTTCGTTTGTAACCCGTCAAAACTTCCCAAAAATCTTCCAAAAATAAATCCGTTCAAAATAATTGCTTTTACACAACGTTTTAGCGTTTCCTTTTTGAATAAATAGCATAATGACGATACAAACAAACAATGTGTTGAAATGCGTGGCAGCACAATGCGGATCACTCGGCAACATACAGCTAAAAATCGCAGTGAGTAACGGGAAAATGTGTCAGCTGCAGCTGTGTTGGTGCTGATGGTGTGTGCGGTTGCGGCAAGCCGCTTTCGTAGCATACTTTTTTGCGCGCATATTTGATATCAGCTGATGCCGCTGCTGCTGTTGGCAAAAAGCCGCATGCTGCCGCGCGGCATGTATGTTTCGCTGTATTTGTGTGCGCGTTTTATGCAATTTATTTCTTTTGTAGTTCATACTTAGTAAGTTTTTTGTGCGAATATTTTGGCATGCGCCGCTAAGTATGTCACATCCGCTTATAGTGGAGGCTTCACCATGTTCGTCATCATGTTCGCGAATGGCAAGCGTTAGTTCTCGCTTCCGCTAACTGAACTAATTACATTTTTAATTAAGTTTCTAATACTCTTAGGCTTGGCATGAAAGTGTTTGCTGTTTTTTTTTCCGAAAAACTTCATAAATAGTATAAAAGGCTTTTGTGGACTTTAATATTTATTTGACAAATAAAATTGAAATTAATTGTGATTTTGGTGAAAACATAATGAAGGATTATTATTTGTATACATAAGAGATAATGTTATAGATATATTAAATTTCCAATAGGTGGGCCATAGTCGTATTATTACCAAAAGCCGATTCAGCTCATATTGGAGGTTCATAGTGCAGCAACGCTCTAATTGTTTCAAAAATATTTATTTGTCCCGATTGTGATTTTATTATTATTTTAGAAAATAAAAGAATAGAAAATTGTAGCTGTTGAGGCAAGAAAATAGAAGCATAAGTTAACTGTAAAAGCTTTTAAGTAACTCTTTATTTTCTAATTTTTTCAGTAACAAGATTTTTCATTTGTTATTTATTTTGGTCAAAAATAGCGACTTAAATGATTGAAAGAATAAAATATGAAGTTAAAATTTAAAATTTAAAAATCAATTTGTCAAAATTTCCGTTCTTGAATACTTTGTAGTTTTCATATATGAAGCGATATGAAATTTTTGCAAGTTCAAAAAAATTTATTTCAAATGATATGCAAAATTTCTTCAAGAAGTGACTCCGGAAGTCAATTAAGTAAACTGTCAACCTGCAGAAAATCTCTTCCGGAATATTTCACTCAAATTATTGAACACTAACTAATGAATCAAAAATTGTAAAGATCGCTTTTTCTCTGCCTTTAATTACTTATTGCAGTATAAGCTACATATGAACAGTACAAACCCTGGTCTTATCTAACACCAATTGCATTTAATATGCAATCCTAAAGCAGAACCAGAGAACAAACTTTGCCCTAACACTCCACATTTCCTTTGAATATACAATTTAATGTCTCTACTTATGTTATCTTACACCCTTCTCCGCTAACAGAACTTTCACCACGTTGCAGTAGTTCTCTAAACTTCACTTCATAAAATGTATTACTATGTGTTACTTCAGTTCTTTCATTGTCTGCAGAGGAGTATTGGCGAGTAAGTGTGCGCTAGAGGTCACTGAATTTTCAAGTTCCCTGTTTACAATCAACAGCAGTCACGTAGTTTCCTGTTTTGATTGCCTGCCTACGGTTCACTGGCTTGCTACAACTGTAGACTGAAGGTACGCTTATCTACCGCTGGTGCTCTCTGCGTCGACTTGCATAGAGAACTTGTAAGCACATAAATATACTATAAACATACTCAGCCAAGCAGTCGCTCTCTGAGCGGTAAATAAAATGCAAAATGTGTAAATATCAAATATATGTGAAAACTTTCTAGTATAATGGTTTAATGAAGGTAACAGTTAAATGGTTCTATGAATAAGCTCTTCAAATTTTGCAATTAGAAATAAAATTGTATTTGAAATATTTTTATATATTTTGAAATTAACTCAGTGTTTAAGTGGTGAAAGCTTTGTAAAGTTCAAAAAAAGATAATATAATATTATATATATTGAGCATATTCGCAGAAAAGTTGATATTGATCCGGTAAGTAGTTTCGCAGATATCAGCGTATTTTTAAGGAGTTTTTAAATTAATGTAAACGACTCCCAAAATTTCAAACGCGGTTTTCTGGAAACACTGTCGGTGCGGAAAATTTCTCCGAAACAGCTGGACCGATGGACTTGAAACTTTCACACGACCTTCGTTTAACTTTATGGTTGCCAGGTATTGATTGAAGGATTAAGATTTTTGACAATAATTTCGATTTTTTAAACTACTCT